CAAAAGCTCAATTTATCAATACGAAATTTTTGAACTTTTTCCGAGCACTTTTGAAAATTACTTAGAGAATTTTTTTTGGTGACTTCAACATGCAGAAGACACTTTCGGCAACAATTCTTCCAAAATTCCAACCACTTTTCTAGAATCATCAAAACGAAATATGGACATTTTTAGCATATTTTAAAAATTTGATTTTGAATCAGCTCGTCGATATTTATACTTTTTCCGGAATTTTTGAGAATTTTTAAGGTAATTTTGCCAAAAGCTCAATTTTTTAATATGAAATTTTTGAACGATTTCCAACACTTTCGAAAATTATTCAAACAGAGTTTTTCTTTTCAACTTATAGCAGACATTTTCGGCAACATTTCTTCGAAAATTGTAGCCACTTTTCCAAAATTACAAAAATGGAATATGCCCAATCTTCAAATATTTTAAAAATTTGATTTTGAAACCGAAAATTTTGAACATTTTGGTCTGGGACTTAGCTTACTCAAGCTACTCCTACATTTTTCCAATCAATTGGACGATATCAGTTCTAAGTATATCTGAGATTTTTTGCGGATTTTTTAGGCGACTTTGTCAAAAGCTCAATCTTGCTATAAGAAATTTTTGAGCATTGTCCAAGCACTTTTGAAAATTGTCCAAAGAAATTTATTGTCGATTTGTACTTTCAGAACACATCTTCCACAACATTTCGTGGAAAATGTGAACCACTTTTCTAGAATCACCAAAATGAAATATGACAATTTTTGGGTTATTTTAAATATTTGATTTTGAAATCGAAAATTTCGATAGTCTTGGTCTGGGTCTATCAACAAGTTATGTTTTTCGAGGTTTATACCTATCTCAGAATTTTTTGTAGATATTTTGCCAATTTTGCCAAAAGCTCACAAATGCAATACGAAATTTTTAAGCTTTTTCCGAGCATTTTTGGAAATTACCCAAAAACATTTTTGATGACGGAGTCAGTTTTTCGAAGTACAACAAATACAAGTACAAGTTAAAATTTTAAAGTATAATTTATGAGTTAAATGTATCAAATGTATAAAACAGAATTTCGAATAACAAATTTTATATAAGCACGTAATAATTTGTTGGCTGGTTTGATTTTTTGTTTTTTGGTTATTACATAAATAATAAATATTTATGCAACTGTTGGTGAAATTATATAATTTCAATTCAATAAGAGTTTTTTTTAACATAATCACACTTATTAGTTTTTTAAGCAAAGCTTATTTTTGGCTCACTTTATCAAAAGAAAGAACTCAGGAAATTTGGTTTGAAAAATATTACGAATAAGCGACTCGCTTTCTACTGCAGACTGTTTCAAAACGAGTTTTTGATGGCCGAAACCACTATAGACGATTTTTCCTTACAAAAATGCCGTATGGTGCAAAATATAATTTCTTATATATGAATAACAAATCTTCAATAATACACCGGGCACCGCTTCCGACGTATCACATAAGACAAACACAAAAAAGTTGAGAAAAAGATAAGGAAACACAAAAAAACATAAAAGATAATGAGAAATATAATATTATAGTTTTCTAGTTTTCTAATTATTACGTAAAAATTATACAACACACAGCTTCCTTACTAATTTGTGTTTTTATCACTTATCTAAACTACTGTCTTTCATACACGATTTTTTGTACACGTCTTAGACATTCATTCGGAAGTTCCTTTAATATCTCATCACGACAATAACCACAATAATCGCCTGCGGTTAGCGCCGACCAACCAATAAAGCGATTAATACACCAACTTTCAATTTTTTATTACTATTCAATTATACGTGGTTAGGTCCAATAAAGCCACCATAAAATTCTGGTTGCTTTTGTTGGCCCGGACCTATTCAAGAGAAGAATCGCACGGTAATAAACAAAATTATGTAACACGATCACCGTAACCGCAATTTGATACTATTATTAAATTTTATTGAACGCTTACCTATAATCTAAGGATTTTTATCCAATTCCTGATTTCTCTTACTATCTCTTTACTTATTGAACGGATTTGTTTTGTTTCTGATTTATTGCGAAATATATTATTATGGCTAATAATAGTGGACACCTAACAGCCGCAAAGTGAAAATTATGTCACATTATTTATAATTGGATTGATTGTAAGTGAATAGATAACAAATCTGAAGCACTATTTAGTAGAAGCGGCATATGGCCGAGTGCTGTGGGAAATACTGTACACATATGTCATTTTTACTGATTGTCCAAATACGTAGGCAACCCATTATACACTACAGCGACGGTAAAGTTCAACGATGTGCACTTTTTGCGTTAATGTTGGTATAATCATAGATTAAGATAGATGCGACATACAGGCTGATTTTGAAAAACCACCCTTATTGACATTGGAGTCCTCAACCGCCAAAGACAAGCGTGAAATTTAAATAGTCGATTCCAATAAAAAAAACTTGTTTCACTACAACTCGTCGCTTGAGAACTTGTTTGATCTACAGACCAGAGCCCGCTCAGGCCAAAGTCGACCCTAAGCGTTCAGAAGCCATTTGGTTGGTTTGGACTATAATTTCTGCGGGAAATAGTTGTTTGGTCGGTTTTTATAACGACTAAATGAATATTTTTGGTACATATTTAGATGATTTTACATATTTTGTGTAACTAAGAATTAATTCTTTATTTGTGTTTTATACTAGCAAAACGTCTTAAACTAAGAATATTGTTGAAATCGTAATAACCCAATGCGTGCTATTTTGTATGAATTTTTAAATGTTTTTAGTGACAATTTTTGTGGTTGTTTGCGATACACTGTGTGATATTAACAGTGAGAAATAAAGTGAAAAATCGAGAAATCTAATAATCGAAAAATCGAAACCTTAAAAAATCGTAAAATCGAAACATTAAAAAATCGAAATATCAAAGAACTAAAAATCGAAAAATGAAACATCAGAAAATCGAAAAAATGTAAAATTCAAAAATCTAAAATTTAAAAATCGAATAACGAAAAATCGAGAAATCGAAACTCCCAAATTTAAAAATCGGATACCTGAAAAATCGAAACATCGAAAAACTGAAAAATCGAAAGACCGAGAAATCGAAAAATCAAAAGATTAAGAAATCGTGGAGTCGAAAAGTCGAACAATTGAGAAACCGAAATAAGCCAAAATCGAAAAGTTAAGAATTGAACAATTTATAAATGGAGACATTGACAATTAAAATATCGAAAAACCAAAATCTCGATAAATCGAGAATTCAAAAAACTTAAAAATTCGAAAAATTGGGAGATTGAGAGATCAAAAGAACGAAAATTTGACAAAATGACAATTGAAAAACAGAAAATGTAAAATCGGGAGGTCGAAAAATCAAAAGATTAAGAAATCGAAACATTTGAAAAATTCGAAAACTTGAAAAATTGAAATATCGAAGAACTGAAATGAAAAATCGAGAAATCGAAAAATCTAAAATTTTTAAAATTAAAAAATCTAAAATTGAAGAATCGAAAAAGTAAAAAAATCGACAGATGGAAAAATCCAGGAGTCAAAAATCGAAAAATCGAAGAATCGAAATATTGAAAAATCCCAAAACTGAAATATCGAAAAACTAAAAAATGCAATACCTGAAAAATCCGAAAACTGAAATATCCAAAAACCGAAAAATCGAAAAATCAAAAGTGAATTCGAAAAATAGAAAACTTAAAAACCTGAAAAATCAAAAAATCAAAGAATTGAAGAACAGGAAAATCGAAACACTCGAAGGTCAAGAAATGGAAAAATCAAAACATCGAAAAATTGAAAAAGTAAAAAAATCGACAGATCGAAAAATCCAAGAGTCAAAAATCGAAAATTCGAAGAATCGAAATATTGGAAAATCCCAAAACTGAAAAATGAAAGAAAAACTGAAAAATGCAATACCTGAAAAATTCGAAAACTGAAATATCCAAAAACTGAGAACCTAAAAAGTCGAAAAATTGAGCAATCGAAAAATCCAAAAAGTGAAGTTGAAAAATTGAAAGCTTAAAAAAACTAAAAAATGAAAAATCAAAAACCTCAAAAATCGAAAAATTAAAGAATTAAAGAATAGGAAAATCGAAACCCTCGAAAGTCAAGAAAATCTAAAATCGGGAAGTCGAAAAATCAAAATATTAAAAAATCGAAATATTTGAAAAATTCGAAAACGTGAAAAACTGAAATATTGAAGAACTGAAATGAAAAATCGAGAAATCGCAAAATCTAAAATTTAAATATTTAAAAATTAAAATATCAAAAAACTGAAAAATCTAAAATTTAAAAATCTAAAATTGAAAAAACGACAATTGAAAAACAGAAAACCTAAAACCGGGAAGTCGAAAATCGAAAGATTAAAGAAATCGAAACATTTGAAAAATTGAAATTGAGAAGTCTAAAATTTAAAAATCGAAAAAGTAAAAAGTCGACACATCGAAAAATCCAGAAGTCAAAAATGGAAAAGTCGAAGAACAGAAATATTAAAAAATCCCAAAACTCAAATATCGAAAAACTGAAAAATGAAAGAAAAACTGACGAATCGAAAAACTGAAAAATCCCATAACTGAAATATCCAAAAACTTAGAATCTAAAGAATCGAGAAACTGAGAAATCGAAAAATCAAAAAAGTGAAGTCGAAATATCGAAACCTTAAAAAAATCGAAAAATTGAAAAATCAAAAACCTGCAAAATCGTAAGATCGAAAAATTGAATAATAAGTAAACTGAAAAATTCCAAAACTGAAATGTCCAAAAACTGAGAAATTAAAAAATTGAGAAATCAAAAAATCAAAAAAGTGAAGTTAAAAAACCAAAAAACCTGAAAAATCAATTAATTGAAAATGCTAACATAAGTCGAGGAGTCAGTCCTCAACCGTCATTTAATTTAAACTATGACGCTTCTCTATGTTCCCTGGTATAATGGAAGTAATTCTGTGACAGATGTCAGTCGTCAGATGTGATAAATCTATATCCGCCAAAGGCTATGATCTGTGTATAACTATAAAATAAAACCACTATTCCATCGATAAATCGTCTTTTATTCTGGTACTTAACAATCGATAAAACTAAAATATTAAACTAAAATATTCCAACAGTTGACTATATCTCTTAAAAAATTGCACGCTGCTTTCAGAGAGTATTAGTTCCAAGTCTTAATAAAAAATTTCGTTAACGATGGTTGATCTGCAACTCTGCCAACTCCTTCTCTTCATCGATCGAATCGCTTTCGTCGTCGCTTCCATGAAGTGAGGCTGCCGGAGTCGTCATTTTACTGGAAGTGGGCGACGGTGGTTCCGATATGGGTCTGGGATACTTGAGTGTGCCAATTCCGTTGTACTCGTCTTCGTTGTAGTCGGGGAAGACCGACTTCAGAGCGCGCAGTCTAGCTTGCCTGTAATACTAAATCCGGTTTTAGTTTACTCCGTTTACCGAACAGATGGAGTTGTTTATGTTTTTTGTGACGTGTCAACTTACCACCCCCAGACTCCTCCAATCCAACATATCACTCAACCTCTCCGTCCTGTTCCTCTGTATAATCCTCTGCCTTCGATTCAGCTTCGCAAAGTCGTACATAAAATGCGCCAACTGTTGCACCGACGCCTCTAAAGAAATATACCTCCTATCCACCACATAAATACCATAAGACATAGGATCCGCTATATGTTCCTGCATGAAGCACCCAAACCCTGACAAATTCGTAGTTATACTAGGAATACCCATCACTGTACACTCCGCCGGAGTGTAACCCCACGGCTCATAGTAACTCGGGAACACCCCCAAGTGGCACCCCCTCACAAACTCCTCATAATCCAGCGCAAACAGCGGATTGGTCGAGCTCAAAAATTCCGGATGGAACACAATCTTCACCCTATCGTGCTTCGTGTTAAACAAGTTACATCTCCGCACGCTGTTCAAAACCGGGTCGCTCCAGTCATCCACCACATTATGGGTGGTGACAGGCGGCAGCCCGTCCCGCTGCAACGAAAAGATACACCTCTTCAGCCTCACTAGCTCCTCCTTCTGCAGCAGCTCGTCCCCCACAGGTAAACGCCCATTCAAACAAATCTCGTACATGCGTTTACCGATCTTATTCTGGATGTCGTTGATGGTGTCCCTCAGACTCTTAGTCACCGCGTGGCCTCGCAGCGACTCCACGTTGAAGTTGTTGGTTTTGGCGGGGAAGATGAGGAAGGCCACCACCGTGACGTCGGGATGGGTGGACTTCAGGTAGTGGTTGAGTCTGGCCAGGGCCTCGATGAAGATGTCGGCACCTTTGTTGCCGAATTCGTAGCGACCGGCGATGAAGAAGTAGAGGGTCTTGTCGAGGTCGAAGTCGTAGTGGCCGTAGAAGTGGCCGCGGACGAATTCGTGGATTTTGTCTTTCGAGAGGGCGTGCAGGTTTTGGAATTCGTGGAGGGCGGAGAATTTTTTCACGTTGAGGCCGTTGGGGGTGATGACGTCGGGTTTGCGTTTGAGGAGGTGCTCCGCTTCGAAACCTGGAAAGAAAAGAATTTATTTTGCAGATTGGATATTTTCAGCATGACAGTGCTACAGCTCATGGAGCTTAAACAAGTTTAAACTTTCGAAGGGAATTTTGTGACCCTACGTTTTGACAACCTCATGAAAGCCAAACCAAGGAAATTTTAAATTCTTACATAAATGTAAACGTTTTTTTAGTCAAATGTGTGTTCTCAATTTTGAGATCAGAAAATAATCTAAAAGTAATTAAATTTAATCAGTTTTCGAGATATAAATTTAACAACACCATCGACAATTGGAGTAACTAATAGTTTGAATTTAACGCTTTTTTTAGTCACCAAAAGGTTATCACTGGTTTTGGTGACCTAATATTTTCCTTGATGCTACGAAATGTAAATAAAACACATTATTTTATATTTTTCATTGATACAAATTTTTTTATTAAAAACATAGTCATACATTTTTTTAGAGAAAATTTTGAACACAGTAATCATTACTCACGACAGTAAAATGGTCCATTATCTACGTGATTACTCGCAGCCGAAGTCTACCGAGAGAGTAATAAAAACCACGATCAAAGGCAGCCATCGATTTTTGAAAATCTGTCTTTGATAGAATTTTCGTCTTGTCAAATTACCGTCGATTTGAAAGTTTGAGTTAAAAATGCAACGATCAAAGACAAATATTTAAAAATCCATGGCTAGCTTTGATCGTGTTTTTCACTACCCTCTTGGTATTACATTATTGGCTTTTATCAATTTCGTTGCCAAGTTGCCGTTGATAGTAACTTTGATATTCAACTTTTGCCGTATTTATTAAAGGGATTGTAGAAGAAAAGTGGAGGATTTAAACTGATTTTTACAAAAATGTACCATTTTAGACAGTTTCTTTTTGTCGAAATAAGTCTACACCTATTAAGAAAAAAAGGCAAAATGTAGCCCCGCCCACCCACCCTGTCTCGTTTGTGATGATTTTTTTTTATTCGTCGTTAACCACGGGGGCGGAGTTTAACTGCAAAATCCTTATTTCTCTACTTTACTAATCTAAATCGTAATGAAGTTTTCATTCGTTGGCAGACCTAGGGGCGAAAATGTACCATTTTAAACCTGTTTTAGGTTTCTAAGAATATAAAAATCGTCACAATTCAAATGCGGTGGGTGGGCGGGGTTAATATTTAGCTTTTTTTCTTAATATGCATAGTATTCTTCGAACAACACGATACTCAAAAACATGTTTTTAATTTCTTGTAAAGAAATAAGTATTTTGCAGTGAAGCTCCGCCCTCTTGACTAACGACGAATAAAAAAATCATCACAATGGAGACAGGGTGGGTGGGTGGACTTACATTTTGCCTTTTCGTCTTTTCGTTTTAATATGTGTAGACATCTTTTTACAACATGAAACTTAAAACATGTTTAACATTTTTGTACAACGAAATATCGATTTTGCAGTTAGGGTCCGCCCCATAATTCCATATTTCCTTCCAAAAATGCACCATTTTAACCATGTTTTAAGTGTCTTGTTGTGAAAAGATGGCTATGTATATTAAGAAAAAAAGGAAAAATATAAGCCCCGCCCACCCGCCCTATCCCAATTCTGATGATTTTTTTATTCGTCATAAGCCGAGGGGTGGAGCTTAATTGTAAAATCCTTATTTTTCTACGAGATATTACCATGTGAAATATGTTCTTAAGTACTCGTGTTATACAAAGAAAACTAAATGTATTAATTAAAAAAGAAAATCAAAAAGAAGCCCCACCCATTCGTCTCGATCTCAATCGTAATGAATTTTTCATTCGTTGTCAGACCGAGGGGCGGAGCGTAATTGCAAAAAGGATATTTCCCTTTAAAAATTTACCATTTTAAACGTGTTTTAAGTTTCTAAGAATACAAAAAAATCATTACAATTGAGATAGGGTGGGTGGGCGGGGTTTATATTTTGCATTTTGTTCTAAAAATGCATAGTATTCTTTGAACAACACGATACTCAAAAGCATGTTTTCAATTTTTTGTAAAGACATAAGTATTTTGCAGTTAAGCTCCGCCCCCTTGGTTCACGGCGAATACAAAAAATCATCACAATTGAGATAGGGCGGGTGGGCGGGCTTACATTTTGCCTTTTTGCTTTAGTATCTGTAGACTTCTTTTCACAACGAGAAACTTAAGACATGTTTAAAATGGTAAATTTGTATAGGGAAATAATGATTTTGCAATTAGGCCCCGCCCCATTTCCTTGCAAAAATGTACCATTTTAACCATGTTTTAAGTTTCTTCTTGTGAAAAAATGGTTATGTATATTAAGAAAAAAAAAAGGCAAAATATAAGCCCCACCCACCCGCCCGACATTTTTGTATAACGAAATATCGATTTTGCAGTTAGGTTCCGCTCCATAATTGCAAAATCCATATTTTCTTCCAAAAATGTACCATTTTAACCATGTTTTAAGTGTCTTGTTGTGAAAAGAAGGCTACGTATATTAAGAAAAAAAGCAAAATATAAGCCGAGGGGCGGAGATTAATAGTAAAATTCTTATTTTTCTACGAGAACTTACCATGTGAAATATGTTCTTAAGCAATCGTGTTATTATACAGAAAAACTAAATGTATTAATTAAAAAAGAAAGCCAAAAGAGAAGCCCCACCCCTCAGGATCGATCTCAATCGTGATGAATTTTTCATTCGTTGTCAGACCGAGGGGCGGAGCGTAATTGCAAAATCGATATTTCCCTATACAAATTTACTATTTTAAACAATCATGTTGTACGTTTCTTGTTCTGAAAAAACGACTACGTATATTAAGAAAACAGGCAAAATATAAGCCCCGCCCACCCGCCCTACCTCGATTGTGATGACTTTTTTTAACGGTCGAGAGCCAACGGAGCGGAATTTAATTGCAAAATCCTTATTATTTCTCTACAAGAAATTACCACGTAAGACATGTTTTTGAATATCGTGTTATTCAAAGAATACAAGTACTATGTATATTAAGAAAAAATTTGAAGCCAAAGATTAAGTTCCACCCATACCTGCCTTGATCTAAATAGTAATAAAGTTTTCATTCGTTGACAGACTTAGGGGCGGAGCGTAATTGCAAAATCCATATTTCCTTACAAAAATATACCATTTTAAAGGTGTTTTAAGTTTCCAAGAATAAAAAAATCATCACAATTGAGATGGAGTGGGTAGGCGGGGTTTATATTTTGCTTTGGTTTCTTAATATACATAGTATTCTTTGAAGAACACAATATTCAAAAACATGTTTTTAATTTTTCGTAAAAAAAAATAGTATTTTGGTTCTCGGCGAATAAAAAAAAAATCACAATTGAGATAGTGCGGGTGGGTGGGTGGGCTTACATTTTGCCTTTTTGTTTCAATATGTCTAGACATCTTTTCACAACGAGAAACTTGAAACATGTTTAAAATGGTAAATTGTTATACAGGGAAATATCGATTTTGCAATTAGACTCCGCCCCATTTCCTTGCAAAAATTTACCATTTTAACCATGTTTTAAGTTTGTTGTTGTGAAAAAAATGGCCATGTATATTAAGGAAAAATAAAGCAAAATATAAGCCCCATCCACCCGCCCTATCTCAATTCTGATGATTTTTTTATTCGTCGTAAGCCGAGGGGCGGAGCTCAATTGTAAAGTTACTTATTTTTCTACGAGAAATTACCATGTGAAATATGTTCTTAAATAATCGGGTTATACAAAGAAAACTAAATGTATTAATTAAAAAAGAAAGCCAAAAGAGAACCTCCACCCATCCGTCTTGATCTCACTCGTGATGAATGCTTCATTCGTTGTCAGACCGAGGGGCGGAGCGTAAATGCAAAATCGATATTTCGCTATACAAATTTAACATTTTAAACATGTTTTAAGTTTCTTGTTCTGAAAAAACAACTACGTATATTAAGAAAACAGGCAAAATATAAGCCCCGCCCACCCGCCCTACCTCGATAATGAATTTTTTTTAACGATCGAGAGCCAAAGGAGCGGCATTTAATTGCAAAATCCTTATTATTTCTCTACAAGAAATTACCACGTAAGACATGTTTTTGAATATCTTGTTAATCAAAGAATACAAGTACTATGTATATTAAGAAAAAATTTGAAGCCAAAGATTAAGTTCCACCCATACCTGCCTTGATCTAAATAGTAATAAAGTTTTCATACGTTGACAGACCTAGGGGCGGAGCCTAATTGCAAAATCCATATTTCCTTACAAAAATGTACCATTTTAAACGTGTTTTAAGTTTCTAAGAATAAAAAAATCATCACAATTGAGATGGGGTGGGTGGGCGGGGTAATATCTTGTAAAAAATAGGTATTTTGTAGTTAAGCTTCGCCCCGGCTAACGACGAATAAAAAAAAAATCATCACAATTTAGACAGGGTGGGTGGGTGGGCTCATATTTTGCCATTTTATTTAAATATGTGTAGACATCTTTTCACAACATGAAACTTGAAACATGTTTAACATTTTTGTATAACGAAATATCGATTTTGCAGTTAGACTCCGCCCCATAATTGCAAAATCCATATTTTCTTGCAAAAATGTACCATTTTAACCATGTTTTAAATTTCTTGTTGTGAAAAGAAGGCTATGTATATTAAGAAAAAAAGGCAAAATATAAGCATTATGCCTTTTTGTTTTAATATGTGTAGACTTGTTTTCACAACATGAAATTTAAAACATGTTTAAAGTGAAAAATTAGGCTCCGCCTCATAATTTCCTTGGAAAAATGTACTATGTCAAACATGTTTTAAGTTTCTTGTTGTAAAAAATGGCTATATATATTAAGAAAAAAAAGGCAAAATATAAGCCCCGCCCACCCACCCTGTCTCAATTCTGACGATTTTTTTTTATTCGTCGTAAGCCGAGAGGTGGAGTTTAAGTGTAAAATCCTTATTTTTCTACGAGAAATTACCACCCATATCCATCCCAAGCTCAATTGTGGTGAGTTTTTCATTCGTTGTAAGACCGAGGGGCGGAGCGTAATTGTAAAATACAAATACATATACAATTTTAAATATGTTATAAGTTTCTTGTTGTGAAAAGATGAATAAATTTTACATTTTTTTTTTTGAAAATTGAATTTTTTTTGTCAAATGTCGAATTTAACATTAAAAAAACTCCAAATTGGACCCGCCCACCTCTTTTTTTTGATCAGTCATTTTATTGGAAGACGACTTGCTTTTGTACTGATAATTAGTGGAATATAAACAGAAAAGGTAAAACTAATCCCTCCCATTAATTGTAAAATCCTTATTTTTCCACGAGAAATTACCATGTGAAATATGTTCTTAAGTAATCGTGTTGTACAAAGAAAACTAAATGTATTAATTGAAAAAGAAAACCAAAAGAGAAGCCCCACCCATCCGTCTTGATCTTAATCGTGATGACAATTTTTCATTCGTTGTCAGACCGAGGGGCGGAGCGTAATTGCAAAATCGTTATTTCCCTATACAAATTTACCATTTGAAACATGTTTTAAGTTTTTTGTTCTGAAAAAACGACTACGTATATTAAGAAAAAATGCAAAATATAAGCCCCGCCCACCCGCCCTACCTCTATTGTGATGTTTTTTTTTGACGGTCTAGAGTCAAAGGAGCGGAATATAATTGCAAAAGTCTTATTATTTATCTACAAAATTAACACGTAAGACATGTTTTTGAGTATCGTGTTATTCAAAAATACTATGGATGTTAAGAAAAAATTAAAGCCAAAGATTAAGCCCCACCCATACCTGCCCTGATCTAACCAGTAATGGAATTTTCATTCGTCACCAGACCTAGGGCCGGAGCTTAATTGCAAATTCCATATTTCCTTACAAAAATTTATCATTTTAAACGTTTCTTAAGTTTCGAAGAATAAAAAACATCATCACAATTGAGATGGGGTGGGTGGGCGGGGTTTATATTTTGATTTGGTTTCTTAATACACATAGTATTCTTTGAAGAACACAATATTCAAAAACATGTTTTTAATTTTTTATAAAAAAAAAATAAGTATTTTGGTTCTCGGCGAATAAAAAAAATCATCACAATTGAGACAGGGCGGGTGGGTGGGCTTACATTCTGTCTTTTTGTTTCAATATGTGTGGACATCTTTTCACAACGAGAAACTTGAAACATGTTTAAAATGGTAAATTTTTATATAAGGAAATATCGATTTTGCAATTAGGCTCCGCCCCATTTCCTTGCAAAAATGTACCATTTTAACCATGTTTTAAGTTTCTTGTTGTGAAAAGATGGCTATGTATATTAAGAAAAAAAAGACAAAATATAAGCCCCGCCCACCCACCCTATCTCAATTCTGATGATTTTTTTTATTCGTCGTTAGCCACGGGGGCGGAGCTTAACTGCAAAATCCTTATTTCTCTACTTTACTGATCAATGAAGTTTTCATTCGTTGGCAGACCTAGGGGCGAAAATGTATCATATTAAACGTGTTTTAGGCTTCTAACAATAAAAAAATTGTCACAATTAAGATGGGGTGGGTGGGCGGGGTTAATATTTAGTTTTTTTTCTTAATATGCATAGTATTCTTCGAACAACACGATACTCAAAAACATGTTTTTAATTTCTTGTAAAGAAATAAGTATTTTGCAGTTAAGCTCCGCCCACTTGGCTAACGACGAATAAAAAAAATCATCACAATGGAGACAGGGCGGGTGGGTGGGCTTACATTTTGCCTTTTCGTTTTAAAATGTGTAGACATGTTTTTACAACATGAAACTTAAAACATGTTTAACATTTTTGTACAACGAAATATCGATTTTGCAGTTAGGGTCCGCCCCATAATTCCATATTTCCTTGCAAAAATGTATCATTTTAACTATGTTTTAAGTGTCTTGCTGTGAAAAGATGGCTGTGTATCTTAAGAAAAAAAGGAAAAATATAACCCCCGCCCGCCCGTCCTATCTCAATTCTGATGATTTTTTTATTCGTCATAAGCATGGTGGAGCTTAATTGTAAAATCCTTATTTTTCTACGAGAAATTACCATTTTAAACAATCATGTTTTAAGTTTCTTATTCTGAAAAAACGACTACGTATGTTAAGAAAACAGGCAAAATATAAGCCCCGCCCACCCGCCCTACCTCGATTGTGATGACTTTTTTTTTAACGGTCGAGAGCCAAAGGACCGGAATTTAATTGCAAAATCCTTGTTATTTCTCTAAAAGAAATTACCAAGTAAGATATGTTTTTGAATATGGTCTTATTCAAAGATAAGTTCCACCCATACCTGCCTTGATCTAAATAGTAATAAAGTTTTTATTCGTTGACAGACCTAGGGGCGGAGCCTAATTACAAAATTCATATTTCCTTACAAAAATGTACCATTTTAAACGTGTTTTAAGTTTCTAAGAATAAAAAAATCATCACAATTGAGATGGGGTGGGTGGGCGGGGTAATGTCTTGTAAAGAAATGGGTATTTTGCAGTTAAGCCTTCGCCCCGGCTAAGAACGAATAAGAAAAAAATCATCACAATGGAGACAGGGTGGGTGGGTGGGCTTATATTTTGAATTTTTAATTAAATATGTGTAGACATCTTTGTAAACCCAACGTCAACGGCAACGTCAGCGGCAAGTTTATAAATCGACTGTTTCTGAAACAGCTTCGCAAAACCTTCTATTATGAAACTCAAGCGTTTTCTCTTTCAGAGTGAGCCTATTTTGAGACTGTTATTTTGGTTACAACTACTATTTCAGATTGAATTAATTTGAACCTAAGGAAAATATTTCTCTGTCAACAGACAGACGACAGACGTCACACACACGGAAATGGGGAACCTACTTTTCCATATTTTAAGAGCTATTAGACGCTTCTCTACCTTAGGCCTGTGGAATAAATAGACAATTTCGGCCATGATATAAATAATTATTTGTTATTAGTGTTAGTTCATAAGTTTAAAATTAAGTTGTTAAACCCGTGTCGTATTACATTATCAGCTCCATCAACATTATTTATCAAAACTGATAAACAAGTATAATCGCTTGCAGGCCTTGGAATTACTATTTGCCGTTGCATATTAAATGTGGTCGGGTTGACAGATAATTGACAGTTGACTTGACAGCATTTCCTAAACTTACGTATCAATTTTTCGCGGTTTATTGTTATTTGATCTTTTGCTTTATTTGCGTGGTCAGAATCAGTTCTTTTGACAAGTAGTGTGTAAGTTCTACGATTTACGAATTTTTATAGCTTTTTCTGAGCAACACAAATACTTATTATTCATTCGTTGTTATTAATGTTGTTATTCTTATTATTGTAACATAAATTGTCTGTTTATTATCAGTATGTTCAGGATTTTTAAAACTAGGACATGGTTGTTTTCAAGTACCAACCAACAACTACAGTAATAAATAATATGACAGATAAACAAACAATAATAAGATTAAAAACAACTTGAAAATTATCATGTTTCGCACTTCACGGAATGTCTGTCTACTTTCCAGTCCTACTAAATATAGAAATATACCAACAGGACAAGTTACACAGGTCAGGTACTTCTACAAATATCAATCTCACATTTTTTTTGATAAACTATAATCTTTAAATTTAGAAAAATATAAATCACAATTAAGACACACCTCCTATTTACATTCATAATCTACAAGTGAAAAGGTCAAGTTAAATTTTGGCAAAAATTTATTTTGCAACACTTTTTCAAATCACGTACTGTGCATTTCTGAGATCGACTCACATGATAATTGTGGCATAAATAAAGCCCTGACGTATGACCGACACCGTTCATGTGCTTGAAATAAACTATAAATAACGGATGTGTACTTTGATGGCAGCAGTGACAGCACGTGTTGGCATTAAAATATTGACGTCATAAATATTACCAGAAACCAATCTCACACAGCTAATAATATTTGGCTTTTGCAACAGTTACAATCACAATGGGTAATTTTTCAACGTCTTTTGGAACTAATAATGTGGACACTAGCAACTTCAATTATTTATTATGTCCAAATAAAGGCGACAAAATGTCGACATTTCAAAAACCGGAGTCAAATGATCGATAATAAAAAAGTTTTTAAATAAAGTCAATAACCTGAAGGTGAGGTTTATTGAATCATATCAGATAAAAGTGTGTAATAAAAATTTCGAAATTTGCAAAACGAGATTTGGTGTTTTTTCACCGACAGCAGTGACAAAACACAGGTTTACAGCGTTAAGTTGAACGACAGAGATGGTCGAAAATCGAATTTTTCCAGTGTGCGTTGCAAGTTAATTCCTCCATAATTTCGTAATCATAAGTACCAACATAAAAAATATCAAAGTAACTTCCACAACAACACCGCAATAAATTTTCAATTCAACAAAACGTGCCGAACGCCCATGCAATAATCATAAAATTTATCGACGAATTTTATTTATTAATTTTTTTTTTTTGATAATAAAAATCCCCTAGATCGGTAAACACAACAACGACATGATTGACATGACAAATGACATTTGTAATTGGCACCCCTACCTGTAATATCCGAAACGGTGGTAAAAGTATGCGCCAAATGACTAGCCGCCCTCTCCAAACAATACCTATGGTAAATCTGCCTCTTGCCCGCCTCCTCATCCACACTAAACTGCAACAACCCCATCACAACCAACCCCACAAAACCTCACTCTTACCTTATCCATGTTATTGTAGAAATCCGTGCTCCCGGCACACAAATACCGCCCCAGCAATGTAGCATGCGTGGTGAACACCGTGGCCACGTTCACGTGCCTCATCCTCAAGACAATCAGCCCAACTCCCGCTTGCCACTCGTGGAAGTGGGTCACCACCTTGGCCGCAGTCCCCTCTCCGAACCTCTCGGCACACTCCCTAAATTCGCCAACGAAATCCGCCACCATGTACCCCAGAATGATCGCATCGTTGGCTTCGACATCCAGATGCGGCACCCCCACATTGCACTTGTCCCACAGCTCGGCTTTATATTCGTCTAGCTTCCAGGCCGCCGAGCCGATGTCCATTAGGATGATCTGGGGGTTGCCGTCGACCAGCCAGCGGCCCGTGTGCACCTTGAACCCCTTTTCGCGCATGTACTGGACGGCTTCGTTGAGCGGGTCGGAGCCCAGGGGGCCCTCTTCGATTTCTGTTCGGGCGCAGTATTCTTTATAAGGGCCGATGAGGCAGTACTGGTCCCCCATTTCTTCGGTCGAGACGTAGGATTTGGAGCGGATTACTGTGTAAATACCTCCGACTTTGTTGGCGGCTTCCCAGGCGATTTCGAACGTCCATCTGTTTTCTTCTTCGGCTACCATGCCTCGGTCCATGCAGGCCATAAGGTTGCTGTAGGACTCGCCACGGTAGAAGCGACGGGAGGAGGACCTTTCACGCGACATTTTCTGAATGAAAATGAGGTATTTTTAGAGAGGTTGAGTAACACTTATCGGGATTAAGTTATCTTGGCATTTAATAAACAGTCCGAAGGCAAAAAATTGAGAAAAAACTGCGACCACTTCTGGGCACCTATTTGCCGTGTTCGGGTCGACTTTGACTAAATTAGATCAAGAGAAAGCAGAGTTGTGGCTCTTGTAAGACTCACCGAGAGTTTTCAGTCAACTTTTTCAAAAATAAATTGTAACTGGTCTTAATACGCCACTACACCCTTTAAAAAGAGCTACATCGTCGAAAACAAAGATAGACAGTCACGCGTGTCACAAAGCACGACAAAGATAAACACTCCTCGTGATACCAAAACCATGAAAACGTGTGCGTCGTAAAGGTGACCTTACAACCAGCCTCACACGCTCTTATCTCAGACGTCCACCACCGATTAAACGTGTGCAATGAACAAAGACAGGCGAAGTGACGTCTGTGTGTCCGTGTAGTGATAAAGGAGTGATTTACGCAACCAGTTCCGATTGTTATCAGTGATAATAAAATTTAAATCCGTTTGTTGTTGGAATTTTGCGTCTTCGCGGAATTTTAGGTAATGTGAAGGATTTGCCGATTGCGCTGATTTGACAGAAGGTTTGAGGTTATGTTGATGTTGCTCGTTTGATTCATCTTGTGAATGAATGGGTGCACGTGGGCTAGACGTTTATTTATAAATTGGTGTGAAGTTGTCACGTTCTTGTTTTCTTAGTTCACGAGGATGTGTTTTTGTTATAGAAAAGTTTATTATAAGACGAGTCAAGTGTAAGGTTATGGTCGATGTACCGGGAGTGATGGGGAAGTTGGTGACGTGATTTGAGTTCATGTACCGGTAGGTGGTTGAAGGTTTGTGTCTAGGTAAGGTATTTCTAGAGATATTTGGAAACCAGAGTTAATCACATGATGAGCGTTATTATTCCTGAGTCAGCCTTAAAAGTACCGAGTAACCTGCTTTCTTGGGGTTGGTTTCCGTATTTATATATGTCGTTAGAAAGATTAAGTACTTATTGATAAACGTTTAAATAAGAATTTAACTTTGTTGTTCGAAAATTATCCAAATAACCCTTATTAATGACCGTAAATTAGTAAATAAAAGAATCGTTACTAGGAGTCAAAGGTCATGAAAATAAGTAAACATGTATTGTGTAGACCGTGGAATGAAATAAGTGCTGAAGAAATGGGAGCCGTAAATGTTGAAAATGGTGCAGTAGATGTTCATGAAGAGAATTTCGAAATTAATAACGAGACGAAATTAAGAAGTTTCTTGAAGAAAATGGTTTATATTACGAAGATCATTGTAACAAAAAGCAACTTCTAGAAGTTGCACACAAAAAAATTTAACAAAAGCTGTGTCATCAACGAGGAGGCTGCCAGACACGGTCATTATGTCCAGCGGTTACCTCCTTATCGCTGCGAGCTTAAACCGGTTGAAATGATATGGTCCATATTAAAATCAAGAGTACGTCGAAATGACAACAATCCAAAATTTAGTGCCAGTGGCCAATTGGTCAAAATAAGTGGTTTGATTGCGTTGAAAAAGTCGTTTCAATAGAAGAAGAACACAGGAAACGATAAGACAGTGAATAATTTATTTTGTTTTAATTTTGGTCAGTTATACAAATTTCACTGAATCCGGCCCGCATGCAATGAAATGCAGAACTTAGACCTGCGGCGCGGGGCTTTGAAACATTTATGGTAGGGGCATTTATAACCCACTAAAAGTACAGTAAAAGTGTTTAACTCTGTTTCCAAATATTTTTAGAAACACTTTAAGTCGCCAAATTATAGACAATCCACCACATTTCCATCGCGTCGACGCGTTTCACCAACTACATTGGTGTTATTGATGCTAGTTTACTTAATTTGTCTGTATAATGCTAATGTGGTTAGCGAAACGTGCCGACAGACATTCTTCCATATAAGTCAGCCCGTAATGTTTCCAAATTTTGATCATTTTTTTGTTAAAGTTAGTCATCAATACTTGCTAAGATACACGTAAAACCGATTTTGGCAAATGGCATATCTACTAAGAAAAGAGAGGGTGGGTGGACCTGTTAAGACTTATTTTGGCAAATGACATATTCTCTAAGAAAACAGAGGGTGGGCAGGTGGGACTAGTACGTGCTAAAATAAGACTGATTTTAGCAAATGACGTATCTTCTAAGAAATTTAATTAAATTATTATAAGAAAAGACACTGGAGGCTCCAAAGTACTTGCAAATTCTTTCCAAACAGGAATACCTGGACCTTCAAAATTTTCAAATAAAAAAACGGGGTCCCTAGTACTTGTCAAGATAAGACTGATCTTGGCAGATGACCCACTCTTCTAAGAAAATAAAGGGTGGGTGGGCGGGGCTAGTACTTGTCAAGATGAGACTGATTTTGGCAAATGACATATCCTCTAAGAAAATAAGGGTGGGTGGGCGGGGCTAGTACTTTTTATAGAAAGCGAAATTAAAGTTAATTGGCGATTAACTTCTACTTGAGGTCTGTTGCTAGGCAACGTGCATGTTTTGACCAATCACGGGCTCATGTTCCACATTTTAATCCTCTGTTAAATTAATCGAGGATTAAGTCATTAATTCGCTCTTCTATAAACCGTCCCTAAAAGCTCAAAAGATTTCTTCAGGTTCATCCAGCAACAAAACACCAGATTCCTTTAAATTTGTCCGAAAGTAAAACCCCGGGGGTTCTAATTTTAAACGTAGGGTTTTGGAAACTATCAATTTTTGATACGTCAAACATTTTTAACTGCTTACTCGATTTTTGCTGATTTGTACCTTCGCTTTATATCAGGCAAACATGGTTGTCAAATGGAATGGAATTTTATCAAATTATTACAAAAACAACACAACCATATCTTTCTACATTCTAACTGAAATGGTAATTAAACATGGTCATGAGCGATTAACTAAAAGTTTTATTAGGAGTTATTGTGATAATGAATGTGTTGTTTAGTAGTTTAGTTGTTAAACGTAGCAAAAGAACCAATTTTAAAATCATAATAACTCCACAAAAATGAGAAAAGGATTTTTTTTGCTATTTATCTCAGATTCAGCAGTTGATTGTTAAGAGCGTAGCGGAGAGTTAATTCGCCATTTTCCACACACTCGGTATATACTCTTAATTTTAATTTTCACTGTCAGTATTTACCAAAATTTGGGAATGTTTTTCGAAAAGTGTGATATTGCTAAACAACTGTGATATACTGAGTGAAATTTACTTTTCCAGATTTTGCTAATCTTGGCCTTTATTCCAGCTTCGAGCGTTGCCTACCTGGGTGGATATATTTCTTACATTGACAGCAGATGGATGTTACTAGGAGGAGCATGATGGGAAAACGTCAAAAGTGAGGTATGAGGTATAGTGGAGAGGAGGGACAAATAAAATAGAACCATATGTATCTTTGCCTTTTATTTTCGCGCCTAAATTCTTGTACGCCATTGTTTTATGTCGTCTTAGTGGTACTTTTGACCCATTTTATCGTATGCGTCATTATGCTACACTACGAATGCAAAGATTACTGCTATCAGTATTATTTTGTGTAATTGTGAGTCGATCGAGCTCTCCTCAAATACAGCGTTAGGGTACGAAGATTAGTCACAGATATTGCGCCATCTAGTATTTAAAATGTTTCATATTCATTTTTATTAAAAATAATGAGAAAATAAGAAGTAAAAAGTCGAGAATAAATCACAAAACTATCTGCGTCGACATCTTTTTTATACGGGTGAAACTGCAAAGCTAACAAATCTCCGTTATGTTACACTGTATCAAAACTGTCAAACAACAACATGATGTTAAATTATGCTAAATACACTCTATTCCGAACAACAAGAATTCACATGATGTTAAATTATGCATACATCAATTCAAAAGTTAATGTTTATCTAAATCAAAATGCGTTCATCAAGAGTACATCATGGACATATTAAATATGGTCAAAATCAAAAACTAATTCGAGAATAAATGTTCAAATTCAAGCTGTGAGAAAACCAATTGCATGTAAAGAAGAAAATAACAAATTTGATTTTGAAAAAAATGCAAAAATATGTCAAGCCTTTGATTTTACTCTCCATCATTTGACATACGTCAAAAAAATTTTACGTCAAATTTGTGAAAGTTGAGGTCATCAATGATGTTTTTAAACGAGATGCTACAATTTTGATCGGATTATTTTATTTATATGAAAATATGAAAATGTAGTTTGATGTAGGGGTTGCATAACAAAAAAATGTAATGGAGAAAATTAATAACGAACGAATCCCAATTTTTTAAATAGTGTCGTATTTTCGGATGATGCAACATCCCCAGTCGTCGCCCGCAAAACTGGTTCCAGTGAGAAGAATTATTTTTTGTAACTATGCAACCCAAAGTACCGATCCACCGCAGGTACCGACCTAAAAACACGAGTGATTATGGCCACTCTAGGGAGTCCGTCATAAAATGCAAATCGGTAAACAACACCAGATTAGCTTATTTATTTTCAAATGAAGGGTACAGGGAAATAACCATCGAAATCCATTTCTATGTACTTTGAAAGAAATTGAGTTGAAAGTTTAAAATGCTGCGGAAAATAGATTGAGAAACACACAAGGTTCAGTCTAACACAACGTTTTATGTTTTTATGTTTTAAAAATATATAAAATAAACTGTTTATGTTCAAATATAACAGCAAAACAAAATTGGTGTAAAGTTGTTTCGACAGAACTTCCCTCGCACCTAAAATACAATGAACATATCTAGCATTTTCGAGTTAAATTTTTACTTTAGGTACACAATTTTGTGATGAAATCGTCAACATTTTGCAAGGACACGTAAATCAATGTGGATTCGACTAAAAATAACAGTATTCCCAAAATTCCTGGGAAAATGGAGTGAGTCGAGACTGATTTAATCAATAGAATAAAATTCATTAAATTTTTTTGAGCGACCTAGGTATATAAGCAAATCTAAAAAATATGAATGCAATGATAAATTACAAGTAAAAACTCATCATATTTTGCACATTTTTAGTAGAATTTATTCGGCAAAATTTTGAGATGACGTTATCAATTTTTTAGTAGCATAATCCTGAACTTGTGGTTTATAAATACATTATTGAGATTTTTCGGTTTTTCGGTTTTTCGATTTTTTAACTTTTGATGTTTCAATTTTTCAGTGTTTTAATTTTTGACTTTTTCAATTTTTCCATTCTTCAAAATTTTCGATTTCTCCATTTTTTTATTTTTCGATTTCTCAATTGTCCAATGTTTCAATGATAGGATTTCGCAATTTTTCAACTTTTCGATATTTTAATTTTTCAATTTTTAAAATTCTAGATTTTTCGATTTGTCAAATTTTCAGTTCTTCTATGCATATTTCAGTTTTTCAATTTTCGGAATTCATTTAATTTCTGATTTTCCATTTTTTTTTAATTTTTCGATTTTCCAGTTTTTCGATGTTTCGATTTTTCAATTATACAATTGTTCAATTTCTCGATTTTTAAATTTTAGATTTTCCAATTTTTTTTTTTTCATAATTGGACTATTTATTATTGCTAAAAATAAAAGTAAAAAATAACTACCAAAATTGTGACTAAAAATATGTAAAAATTAATAGAAAGTAGAACACATTGCTGCTAAAACATAAAAATAACTGTACTTTCCCAAAAAGATCTATTGCATGATTACTGTTTCACTAGTATTGCTAATTTTGGACGTTAGTATCAAACGCAATGAAAGTATTAATTCTTAGTTAAACAAAAAAAATAGTTGCATGTCAAAATCGAGTGAAACATGTGAAATGTGTGTAAATAAAAGCATCTAAATAATAACTATTTCCCGCAGAATTTCTGGAGGCTTATAGAGTCGACATTGGCCTGAGCGCGCTCCGGTCTGTGGATCATACAAGTTCTCGAGCGACGATGTATCTAACGAGGCAGTTGAAATACCTGATATGTCACAGCGCAAAAAATATTTCTCAAAAAACTTTCAAACGTTGATGTCTTTTTAATCGAACAAAACACAACTGGCGAACGCAATAATCCAGAATGGTGCGTAGAAAAATCCTGCAGACTAACCGAATGTTATTTTGGTAAAATTTGCAAAATGACAGAACAAAGTAACACGGCTAATCCTACTGTATTGTGAAAAACATTTTACATCCCTGCAAATCTAGTTCAACATGTACTCTCCCAAAATCTTTGCATAGAAAATGAAGCAAGGGCAACTGCAGCATTTTGCAGTAACATCAAACTGACAATAAGACGATGCGGTTTGTACATTTTTAGCGGCATCGCCAGACGGCTTAATAAACAAAAACGCTATCGTAGAGATATATAAAATGTCCAATTTAAATAATGCTTAATTCAACGAGATGATAAATTTTGGAAAAATAATATGATAGAGCCCTAGAAAAATTTTATTTATATGCCTTACTTCCGGAGAGAGTAGATTCTCGTTATTAAACAAGTCAACCCATTAGACAAATTGTAAAGAAAAAATTGTACAATTAAAATTTTTTATTTGCATTCGCGTCATGTGTAGTTCATATAAATCTTTTGCCCTTCTAGTATAAACACACACAGGAATAAATAGTAATATTGGAATAGGTTTACTGGAGATACCACGTAAAAAACGTGCCTATAATACTCTACATCATAGGTGGTACGGAAAAGAGTATCAAAAAATTAAATTTAAATAAATATGATTGTTCAGGTAAATAAGTGGTTAGTGAAGAGATGAGAATCTTAAATGTTGTCAGTTTTGTGTATTGATTAATATATAAAATGACAGATTAATAAAACATATTTGAATAATTTTTTGAAAGAAAATATTTTAGTAGAATGTATAAAATTATAAAAATTTGCATACTTTTAAATCAAATTATGTTAGCAATGAAAGAAGTCGACTTGATTCAGATAATGCACAAAATTTAGATCACAGGATTTGGTCCCAACAGGATCGGGCACCACCACATTATGGCGTAAATGTGAAGGTTTTTTGGGATAATCAATTTGATGAAAGGTGGACCAATAGAATGACCACCTAGGTCTCCAGGTCATTTTTTACATGAGCAGACCCGACAATTTAGACGACTTGAAAGCACGAATTCGTCATGAAATAACTCGTATAAGTCCCCAGAGTATTGAAAATTCCGTCAATTAGGTCTACCATCGTCTGGGTTTATGTCAGATAGTGAATGGGGAACAGTTTGAATAATTTCTATAGCATAAATTTTACTCGAACGTATTGTTTTGATTATTTAATATTCATCATTAACGCCTCGAATCCGTGATGGTATTAATAATAATAATAATAATAATATAATTTATTTGTGTTAGGAATACATAGTATTTTACACACGTCAAAATGATAACAAATACATCAAATAAAATCATCAAAATTATTATTCAAAAATTCTTCAGTCGAGTAAAACGATTTCGAAATGCAATACTCTTTTAATTTGTGCACTAAGATTTTTGCATCCAGTTGTTTAATTCCGTATGGAAGAACATTAAAAAACTTGATGCCGTAATAATTATTTCCGTGTCTTGATCTGTCTAACCTTAAAATATTGTGACTAATCTCACAACTTCTTGTGGAGTAACAGTGATTAGAACTGAGCGTACGATACTGAGCTTTATTTTTCGTGATATACTCTACACATTTACAAACATATAAACAAGGAAATGTTAAAATCTTTAATCGGATAAAATGTGGTTTACAGTCATCTCTATAATTGATGTTTGCGATAATTCTTAAGATTCTACGTTGCAACTTAAATAATCGTACTGTTTGAGGAGCATGTCCCCACACAATGATGCAGTATGCAAGATGTGATTCTATCAAAGCATAATAAGCGGTTTTAAGGGTACTTTCTGTCACATTATTCGCTAAATTTCTAAATAAATACGTATTCCTGCATAATTGTTCAGCTATGTTATTAATGTGGTTATGCCAATTAAGAGTGGTATCAACATAAATTCCCAAGAATTTCGTTGTTTCAGAAAAACCATTAATACTATTATTATTATTAAACAATTTTAGAGTAAAAATTATTTTCACTAGTTTGCTTTTATTTGAATGCAATTTATTGGCTAATAGCCAATTTTCGATTTCACAATGATATTTATTCGTATGTAAATTATTTATGTTAGCAATTGAATAGCCAACCGTTATATCATCAGCATATAAGACCATATCCGCCTGCGGCACAAGAGAAGGTAGATCATTTATATAGATCAGAAACAGAAGTGGTCCCAAAATTGAGCCTTGCGGCACACCATGAAGAATCATGCGCTCATCAGATAATGTATTATTTATTAGGACTTTCTGAGTACGATTATTTAAGTAAGATTTTATCATTAATATACTATTTGTACTGAATTGATAATACTTTAGTTTTTTTAAGAGAATTTCATAAGAAATGGTATCAAACGCCTTGCTCATGTCAATAAATAGGGCCTTGTAATAGTTACAATTTTCGAAAGAATCAATAATCTTATCAATAAATGCGAGAATAGCATCCTCAGTGGATCTTCCCTTCCTAAATCCAAATTGTTTATTAGTTAATAGCTTATGAGATTCTAAAAATTCTAACATTTGCAAAAATATAAGTCTTTCAAAAATTTTTGACATAATGGGTAGCAATGCAATTGGTCGAAAGCTATTGTTGTCAAAACAGTCACCTTTTTTATATATTGGTATAACAATTGAGTTTTTTAGGCATTTAGGAAAAGTATTTGTCTCTAGACAATAATTGAATAATTTAGTAAACGGGCATATTAAAATGTCTTTTACAGATTTGATGATCTCCCCACTTAACCCATAAATATCTTTGCTTTTCAAATTTCTTAACTTATTGAACGAGTCTCTGACATCATTTTGAGTCACTTTATGAAATACGAATTTATTGTCCACAGAACTAGTATCAAATGTATGCATAAAATCTATTGGATCCTGTGAAGTTGAAGGCAGAAATTTTAATAAGTTTTGCGATACATTAATGAAAAAATCATTTAATTCATTAGGGCTCGACTGAGGAACTTTTGGGGAAGGCTGTTTCCGGTATTTATTAACAATAGTCCACATAGCTTTAGGTTTGTTCTGGTTTTTTTTAATATATGTGTCATTATGTGTAATTTTAGCTTTTTTTACAGCTGCATAATACATTGCACTGTACTTGTTTTTCCAATTTTTCAGATCAGAAGTTTTGTATAAATTATATGCTTCCCTTAAGAAATTAAGACATTCTCTCATTTTATTTAAATCATTTGTATACCACGAATTGTTGTATTTATCTTTCTTCGAATTATAATTGATATATTTCTCAGGAAAAGCATTAACATAACTGTATAAGATATTATTTAAAACCATAGTACATTTATCATTGGGTTCTATATCAGTGTCAAGAAAATCCCAGTCAATCTTAGATAACATATTATAAAATACGAGTTTACCATATTCAGTTATAGGTCTCACAATTTTTAAATTATTATCCATAATACAGTCATTACCAATTTTTAAGTTTAATGCAACTCCTACGTGATCAGATAAATTGAGATTTAAAGGATAAACCTGAAATTTATCTTTTGGAATGTTACTGAATACATTGTCTACAATATTTCTAAATCTAGTACAGAAATTAACACTAGGTATCAGGCCATAACTTTCACATAAATCGATTAATGACATTGTATCATTATTATATTCATTAAAATGGACATTGAAATCTCCTCCAAGTATAATATTATAGCTATTATATTTTAATTTATTCAGAAGATCGTTAACAATATGAAGGAATTTCTTAATATCACTTTTAGGTGATCTATAAACAGTAACAATAATTAAATTATATTTGGTCAGCTTAATACCTGTTAATTCACAAATTTTTTCCAAAGACATGTCCTTTATCCAGGGTAATGCAGTGTACTCCATGCTGTTGTTGATAAGCTGCATTACACCTCCATGGGTGTGAACCGATCTCGCGAAGAAAGATGCTGTTTCAAAATCACAAAGGTGCTTATTATCACATTCCAGTGACAGAAGCCAATGTTCACTAAAGCACAATCAATCGAAATTAAGTTTACTTAATGCCGCTTCCAATAAGTTTATTTTATTTCTTATACACTGAATGTTCTGAAATAATATTTGAAACGTATCACGGTTCCTTAGCACTGTATTTAAGTATTCTAATCCTTGACTTGCTGATGTTTCACTAAAAAAGATCGGACGTTGAAGTCACGGATACACACTGAGTCTGGCCAGATTTCGGGGTCGAGGATCTTGTCATATAATTCCAAAGGAACACCAATACTAAAAGACGAATTGTTACCTTTGTTTTCAAGTTTATTTATAATCACTTCTTTTTGAATGCCTGCACATCTTAAATGATTCAGTACGTCCTCACTTGTGACTTCTTTACCTTGTAATCTTCCAATGTAGATCCACTTACGTCTAGCGACTCCAGTTAATTTAGAACCCACTGGTACTGATTTTCCAGTACCATAGGATACTTTCGCTTTAGCTTTGTTATTCATATTATTATGTTGCCCGTCAGTTTTTTTCTTTTGAGTAAATACTGTCCAGTTGTCTTTTGTTCTCATATCATCACTACTTAGTAAATTGGAAGTTTCATCAAAATGTCGATATTTATCTTTCGTAACATCTTGTATACCATCCACCCTGGATGTGGTTGGTTGACCCATATTTTTTGCTGCGCCTAAAGATGCTTCTACAAGTTGCGATTGACTTTTAATTTCAAAAACAGGAATTTGAAACTTGGAATGATTTCCTTGGAATAACTTTTGTTTATTTGTTTCGGAAAAAGACGTACGTGTAGGCTCCACAGTTGTTTTTGTTAATATTGACGAAAAAGATTCCTTATCAGCAGATTTTCTTATGTCGGCTAACTGCAATTTCATCTCCTGAATATCACTCCTTAGTGACTTAATTAAATCATTTTGATCTTTAATTGTTATATTCTGTGCCAGTACTTGATCTTGGCAGCCTAACAGTGCTGTTTTGATGGACCCTAGAAGTGAGCATATGTTTGCACCAGCAAAGCGGCAGTCATCACAAAACCACATCAATTTGGTTCCTTCTTGCAATAATTTCAATTCGCTTTTCTTCAATTTTGAACACTTGATATGCACACTATTATCACATACACCACTGCATGAAATAAACTCATCTGCTTCTTGTAAAACTAGCTTACAAACGAAGCACACAGAAACTCTGTTTACATCGTCGGCCATCTTGCCGTATGCCGTATTAATTTAACTGATGATAATTTCCAAGGTCCGATCTGTTAAAATGGATAACCACATACTTTAAAATCTTGGGTGAGAAGTCATGAAGTGTTCATAATGTAAAAACTTAGTAAAAACATCCAGGACTTTTAAAAATATATAATATAATTGTATAGATACCTTTGGGATTTTTTAATTTTCACAAATGTTAAAATGATAATGCAACTAAAACATGTAAAAGTGTTGTATCTACATTTTTGTCAATAATAGTTCTAACAAAATAAAGAAAATATTTATTACCTTATAATTTCGAGAGGATTTCATATTTTGTTACTATTATAATTCATGCACAAGTAAAACGCACACTTGATGACACTACAAAATTTTCAGCGAAGCTGAATAAGGTAATCTATTGATCTTTACCTTTGCATTAACAATTATCTGTACGGCAAATATTTGTATTATTTTATAGCAGATGCTATTGATATAATCTGCTTTTGATATGCTAGTCGAGTTTATATGTGAAAAATGAATAATAATTAATTCATGTTTTTTAACTAAAAGCGATTTCTTTTGGTTTTCCAACAGCACCAACCTTGTCAAAGGCTTCTCCAGAAAACTATTGAACTAAAGTCTTTCTGTTTACTGGAATAGTACGGTTTTAGATCACAACTTTTACAACTCCATCTGTTCGGTCAACGGAGTATAGTAAATATTGCGACTCTGGTGTTGTAATAACTCACTTACCGGACTCAGAGATATACCGAACCGTACTTACTTCGTAAACACTGAATATTCAATGCGTCATTTAAAATAGCTTTTTGTACCTGCATAATTATTGTGAGTGTCATTCGTGTAACATTTCGAATGGTTTGAAGAAGTGTTTTCAGTCTTTCTATAACACAGTAGCACATTTTACACACACAACGATATCAATTTTAACCAGGAATACATAATACTGTGTTTTAAAGACCCATTTTAAAAGGAACTAATGCACTCTTATCAGCAGATAATACATATATGAATACCGTATAAAATGTTAAATACTACACTCACTTAAATAAAAATCAGACGTAACTGTGTTGGTAGTTAAGTTTATCAAAACCCACATGTATTGTAAATTGTTTTGATTTTAACATCTTCGATTTGTTATCATTTCAGAAGTTAACGCCCAATCAATTCTTCAACCATGTTCCAAAAATTCCGCACCAACAAAGCCCTCAGCAAAGACCCGAACGACTACATCGAGGTCGAAGTCCGCGAAGATGAAGAACAAGGCGTCAAACTCCAAGAAATCATCGACCTACTGGTCGCCGCCGGGTATTTCCGAGCCCGAATTAAAGGCCTCCAGCCCTTCGATAAAGTCGTCGGAGGGATGACCTGGTGCATCGAATCGTGCAACGTAGACGTCGACGTCGACCTACTTTTCCAAGAAAACTCGACCATCGGCCAAAAAATCGCCCTCACTGAGAAAATTGTCACAGTTTTACCCAAAATGAAGTGTCCGCACAGCATCGAGCCCCACCAGATCCAGGGTTTGGATTTCATCCATATATTCCCCGTGATACAGTGGCTGGTGAAAAGATCGCTAGAGTTCAGGCAAGAAATGTCGCAGTTCGTGAGGAAGTACGCGGTGAAACAGTTCCAGAAAAATTTTGGAACGAGTGAGGCGCAATCAAAGTCTGAGAGTAATATTTTGAAGAATATTAACATAGTTAATGAAAAGTATGCACCCCGGAGGTACTACAAGCGAAAAAATGCCCCTCCGTCTGACATTCACGACCAAGTTCAGATCACTCTTTTGGAATATGGAAGTGCGGCACACCACGTCGAAACCGTGGTCAATGAAAGTGTAGACCACGAAGATCTGAACAAAGAAGATCTGCAAACCCTTGCAGAACATTACACTTCGTTACAACAGGAATTCAAGAGTGGTAGTAACAAAGTTTTGAAAGAAAAGCAAATCGCGGCTATTGAAGACCAAATTGGCTCGTTAACCAAAAAGTCGGCCGACTTAAAATCAAGAAAATCGTCCTTGGAAGATACACTAAATGCCGCTTTGTTGCAAATTGAAGAGATAAAAATGAAGCAAAAATCGGCGCAAGCGCGTTTAGACGAATTGAAACAAAACGAAGAAGGCAAGGTCGATAACGTCCAAGAAATCGAAGAATTAGTGATTTTGAGCGACAACTTAAAAACGCAGGAATCGCAGTTCAAGGATTATTGCAAAAAGGAGTTAGTGAAGTTGCAGGATTTGATTGAAGACGCAAAACAAGGAAAACCCGTGGTTGAAATCGACCCCAAGGTTAATAAGTTAAGTGAAGAGCTAACTGAAAACGTTAAGTCGTTGCGGTTGCAAGTGGCTAAGCGTAATCGGACTGTGGCTGCTTTACGTCGACAAATCGATGATGTTCCGAATCGACCCGAGTTAGCACAGTACCAAAGGAGGTTCCTTGAGTTGTATAATCAAGTTTCTGCTAAACATAAAGAAACGAAGCAATATTACACGCTTTATAATACAATGGAGGATACTAAGATGTATATGAGGAAGGAACTGTCGCTGCTCAACTCGATATCTGATAGTTATCCAGAGGCTGTTTTGTCGAGTGGTGGCAAAGACGAGTTTTTGCAGCAGTTCCAAGGGGTTATAGAGGGAGTGAAGCAGTCGAAGAAGAAGGTGGAGAAGCAGGTGATGGATGAGAGAAGGAAGAGGGATCAGTTGAGTTCGATGTTGCAGGTTTTGGTGGAACAGCAGAGGAAATATGTTGCTGCTGTTCGTGAGTTGAGCATTGAGTGTAAAAAGCACGAGATTTTATTGGCTCAACAAAAGTACTGACTTTAGATTGTATTTTTAAGTGTGATTGGTGTTACGCTTTCCTATATTTCTAAGTCTCAAGTAAACGTACTGTGTATAGTTTAAATAAAAAATGCTAAATATAAAAATGCAAAGTTAAAATTGTTACACTTCTCATCGTAGTTTGACATCCCGCCTCGATAATTTTACTCTATTGACAGGTATAACACACGCACGTCACATTTCTATGCCCAAAAAACCTGCCGCATATTATGCGTTCTACCCTCTACACTAACTTTTTAAAGATGTTTGAATGAAATGTTAATTAAAATAGTTTACTTTGCCTTGTTGCATCAAAGACGTATTAAAGAATAAAGTACAAGTGACAGATCTGCAAACCTCAGATAAAAGAGCTATTGTGTAAATATTTAACTTAATGTAATGCTGAGATGTGTTTTACGGGTTGCCTGAATTTTTACATGTGTATATATACTTCATTTTATGAAGTATACACAAGTATAAGTATGATATAATTAAAAGTGACATTGCAAGTCAAAGTAAATATGCATAAAAATAATAACATTTCCCTCCTCTGGAAGTAGCTTTGATCACCTTGGGTGATTCGTGCTTCCGAGGTTTACGATGCGTAAGCATAACAAGTATGACATAGCAAGTATGATTTTTTATCAATTTATACAGCGTGATTAATAACAAATACTGCTTGAGAATTAACAATTTTGATAAATTTTAAGCTTTTAAGTCCTCAAGAAAGTTAGGGTATGACAGTTTAATAACAATAACAATTTTTTGTTTAAATTAAATGTTACTGTCAACTATGGTGGCGTCAACAATGGACCAATGAACGTAAATAAATATATTATCTTTTAAAAAATAACTGACATTTCTGATTCTCTATTAGTTTTTTTTGTCCAATTGAATTTACTCCGTTATATATTTTTTGAACAATTTTTGGAAAATTTGCTCCAATTTTTTTGGATTTCTTGTAAAGTTATAGGAAAAATTACTTCAGTTAATGATTTTCGGAGAACCCTCTACAAGCCAATCTGCTTTTTTGCTGAAATCGAGTCCGTTTTAGCATATTTTTTTTTTGGATAATTTTTGAAAATTAGTTGCTCCATTTTGTCGATTATTTTACCTGACATTTTTAGGTTTTCGCAGTTTTCCAGGTCGCTGGGAACCCTGTCTATTTACTTTTATCTGAATCGGATACTTTTTGAAACTTTTTGGAAAATTTGCTTCAATTTTTATGGGTTTCTTGAAGAGTTACAGGAAAAATGACTTTAGGTTACTTATTTGCAGAAGAGCTTGTGCAAGCTAATGAGGTTTTTCAATGAAATAGAGCCGGTTTTAACTTTTTTTTTTATTTATTTTTCAAACTGTTTGTACCATTTTGGCGATTACTTGAAGAGATGTAGCAAAAGTGACTTTAGTTTCATAATAATTTACTGAAAATTCCTTACAAGTTTCTTTTTTTCCACAGTTAAATAGAGCCAGTTTATATTTTTCAAAAATTTTTGGAAAATAATTTCTCAATTTCTAGGTTATTTTGGGGTTCAGATTCGCAATATGTGAAAAAATATTTAGTCTTCTCCTTTTTTTCGTTTGAAGTGAACCGGTTTACCATTTTTTATTTTTTTGAAAATGTATTTAAATTGTTTTCTCGGTTTTTGGGCTTTTGTTTGTAATCTGTGAAAGATTCTTCATCAGTTTGTTTTTTCTGCAAATGAATTGAATCTGCTTCCATTTTTCTGGGTTTCTTGAAGAGTTACAAGAAAAATCACTTTAGAATATTGATTTTAGAAGAATCCTCTACAAGCTCATGGGGGTTTTCAATGGAATAGAATCCGTTTTTACATTTTTTTTTGAAAATTTCTGAAAAATATTTGCTCGATTTTGACAATTATTTGAAAAGATGTTATAAAAATGACTTTAGATTCGTAATCAACAGAAAATTCTCTATAAATTTGTCGATTTAGATTTTTTCAAAAATTTTTGGTAACTATTTTTTCAGTTTCTAGGTTATTTTGAAGAGTACAACAACAATGACCAGCAAACTTCAGACTACTAAAATATATAAATAATTATTTATTTTGTCTTCTCCTTTTTACCGTGTCAAATGAACCGGTTTTACTATTTGCTGTTTATTTATTTTTTTTTTTGGAAAATTTATAGAAATTGTTTTCCCGATTTTTAGCTCATAATCTGTGACTCCAGATTCATAATTTACGGCAAATTCTTTATAAGTTTGTTTTTTTGCAGTTAAATAGAGTTAGTTTACATTTTTTTCAAAAATGTTGTTCATTTTCTATGTTATTTCAAAAAATTATTTAGTTTGTTTTTTCGTTTGAAATGAACCGGTTTACCTTTATTTTTTTAAATTTATGCAAATTATTTTCCCAGTTTTTGGGTTGTTTGAACGACAAGTGTAGCAAAAATTGCTTCTCACTTGTGATCTGCCAAAAATTGTCCATTAATTTGTTTTTTCTCCATTACGTTGCCAATTTTACGTCAAAAGTACGTTATTGAATTGAATCCGTTACTTATTTTTTGATAATTTTTGGAAAACATTTGCTCGATTTTGTCAGTTATTTAATTATTCAAATTCGTAATTTGCGGGAAATTCTCTATAATTTTGTTTTCTTCTGCAAATAAATACACAGTGAAATAGAGCCGGTTTACATTTAATCCCGATTTTGGGTTATTTGAATGAGTGTAGGAAAACTTACTTTAGATTTTTGTAATGCGTGAAAAATTTTCCATTAGTTTGGTTTTTCTCCATTACGTCGCCAATTTTACGTTAAAATTATGTTATTGAATTGAATCGGTTATAGCAAACTTCAGATTAGTATTATGTGAAAAATTATTTAGTCTTCTCCTGTTCTTTTCGTTTTAAGCGAACCGATTTACCTTTTTTTTTTGAAAATTTAAAGAAATTATTCTCTCGGTTATTAGGTTATTTGAACGAATATAGCAAAAATTACTTCACATTTGTAATCTCTAGGAAAGTCTCTATTAGTTTGTTTTTTCTCCAATTGAATTGAATCCGATATACATTTTTTGGAAAATTTTGGAAATTTTGCTGGGTTTCTTGAAGCGTTAAAAAAAATGACTTCAGATTATTTATTTTGTGGAGAATCCTCTACAGGCTAATGGGATTTTTCACTGGAATAGAGTCCGTTTTACCTTTTTTTTTTGGAAAATGTTTGAAAAATATTTGCTCGCTTTTGCCAATTATGTATTGGAAAAGATGTAGTAAAAATGACTTCAGATTCGTAATTTACGGAAAATTCTCTATAAGTTTGTTTGTTTTACAGTTAAATAAAGCCAGTTTACATTTTTTCAAAAACTTTTTTTTGGAACATTTTTATGGAAATCGTTTTTCAGATTTTTGGCTCAAATCTGTAACAAGTTCACTATTTGCTTTTATCTTTTTATCCGTTATACATTTATTTAAATTTTTTTGGAAAATGTGCTGCAATTTTTATGGGTTTTTTGAAGAGTTACAGGAAAAATTACTTCAGGTTATTGATTTGCGGAGAATTTTCTATATGTTGATGGCGTTTTTCAATGGAACAGAGTCGGTTTTAAGTTTTTTTTTTTTTGAAAACTACTTGCCCGATTTTGTTGATTACTCGAAAAGATGTAGTTAGTAGAAGTGACTTTAGATTCATAATCTACGGAAAATTCTCTATAAGTTTGTTAAATAGAGTCGGTTTTTATATGTTTTTTCATTTTTCTAAGTTATTTTGAAGGGTATGGCAATGCCGAAGAAACTTTAGATTCGTAACTTTTTTTTTTGAAAATTTTGGGAAATTTTTTACCGGTTTTTGGTTTGTTTGAACGAGTGTAGCAAGAACTACTGCACATTTGTAATCTGTAAAAGGTTCTCTATCAGTTTGTTTTTTCTCCAATTGAACTAATTCTGTTACATAATTTTTGAAAAATTTTCTAAAACTCCCAACCAGAGTTTTAGAAACCATATTTCCTTACAAAAATTTACCATTTTAACCGCGTTTTTTAAGTTTCTAAGAATAAAAAAAATCATCACAATTGAGAGCGGGCGGGTGGGCGGGTCTTATATTTTTACAAGAAATTAAGAACATGTTTTTGAGTATCGTGTTGTTTAAAGAATACTAAGTATATTAAGAAAACAAGGCAAAATATAAACCCCGCCCACCCACCCGCTCTCAATTGTGACGATTTTGTTTATTCTTAGAAACTCAAAAAACGCGGTTAAAATGGTAAATTTTTGTAAGGAAATATGGATTTTGCAATTAGGCTCCGCCCCTAGGTCAGCCAAAGAATGAAAACTTCGTTACTATTTAGATCAGGGCAGGTATGGGTGGAGGTTAATTTTTTCTTAATATAGATATTATTCTTTGAAACGATACTCAAAAACATGTCTTACATGGTAATTTCTTGTAGAGAAATAAGGATTTTGCAATTAAATTGTTCTTTTGGCTCTCGATGATTAAAAAAAAAATCATCACAATTGAGATCGGGCGGGTGGGCGGGGCTAGATTCTGCCTTTTTTTTTAATATGTGTAGACTGTAGACTTATTTCGACAATAAGAAATTTAAATCACAGTCTTGAATCATGTCTAAAATGGTAAATTTTTGTAGTAATTAACTTAAATCCTCCATTTTTTTTCTACAACCACTTCAAATTCGGCAAAAGTTGAACATCATAGTTACCACCACCGGCTGCTTGACAACGGTGTTTGTAAATGACAATTTTATGAATCTGAGACGTTTTATTGGTTGCCTATTCTATCAAATCCCACTTGACTTCACAACTGAATTAACTAATTTTGAGAAATTCTAAGCTTTTAAACCCTCAAAACATTAGGTTATGCCAGTTTAATAACAATTGCATATTCATAAATCTTTACAAAGTGGTTTTTATACAACCTTGACTTTTTTCTAAAAACTTACCTGCACACAGGTGGACGATAAATCATACATTATTTTGAGATGACGTCATTAAAGTTTTAGTGGGGGTAAGCACTTTACATAATGTAACTTACGAGCTTATTAGGCTAAATAAGGAAGGGATTGGACCTTCTAGAATTATGTATCAAATCAGTCAAAATTGGTCAGTCAACAGGAATCAGGGTAATTCCAAAAATGCTGCCACGTTCAGCATACTGGAGATTTATTAATTTGGATTGAAAAATTATGTAATTTTATATACAGTTGATAGAAAACATTAGCTAATAGAATTCTACATAGCCAAAACTGATTAATAAAAGAAACTCATACTCTTAAACTCTCAATATTTGCACCGCAGACTAGAAAATATCGGGTGCTCTTAAATAATAGAAGAACTTTTAGTCTCAACTAAGCACTACGCAACTAATAAATGCAAATATCTGTGAAAACAATAACAAGTATAATATTCGATATCTTCATTACACCCCAACGTGTTACCGCTGCCCGTTCGCCGCCTTCTCGTTCTTCAGCTTAACAGTCTGTTTCTGGTGCTCCATCTCGAAATCCTTCTCGCTAATATCCAGCCTGTAGATGTTGTAGACCAAATTCTGCTCCGACAACACCTCCTCCGGCGGGTTCCTCAACCTGTTCAACGTCTCGCACAACCCCGGGCACTGCTTCCGGCTCTTCGCCGTGCCTAAACAACTGATCAGAATCACCAACGCCGTCTTGAACAAAATCTTCACCCCTTCACACAAGAAAATGTCCCAAATCCGCAACAGCGAGTCCCAAGGCAGCGTCCTCGTGAACGCGCACAAGAACCATTCGGTGCAGTAGAACATCGGTTCGGCGTTGACTTTTTTCAGGTGTTTGTACGCTGCCGGACACACTTTCTTGAGCAAACCCTGCAGGATTAAGCCGTCTCTTTGCACCACTTCCATGCTGGGCGAGTAATAATCTTCGAGGTAACGATCGGAAATACTGACGAGACACCAGAAGGCCTGGACCGCTGGCATGTGCATGAGGAGGAAAGCTGCTACGGGGGCTTGAGCTTGGCAATAGCCGATTTTGGGGTTCTGGATGGTGTAAGCCTTGAGGACGTTGAAGAGCTCGGTCTGGCCGGGCTTGTCCTCGGAGCTGAACATTTCGTGGGTGGGGAATTGGCGGTGGATGTCTTTTTTTATTTCTTCGATGCACTTGGGGTCGCCGTCGGCGCGCAAGCAGTCGTCGTAGAGGTTCTGGTTTTTGTCCATGAGGAGTTTGCCGCCGCAGAGGTAAAGCCAGGCTCGAGGGCGTATCGACATTGGTATACCTGAAAAAAAAAAAAACGTTCTTTTCAGGGTTTTTGGGGCGAGATTGGGGTTTGTCGGAGATAGAAAATGATGTCATTTTTTGTAGTAATGAGTCAGTGGATTGGAGTGATTATTGAGCTCAAAACCACAGAATGCAAGGTAAGCGCTTTGAAATAAAAAGATGTTGTTACTGGTGTCCACTGAACGATGACTAAAATTGTATCAATGCAATAGTTCGCGTTAATTCTGTTTGTCAGTCCAGTAGTTCCGGATTTATGAAACGAAAACATTTAAGTTTTTCTTTTTTGTGAAATCGATTCGTTAATAGTTACACATTTATGTTTCAAGGGTATTATGAAGTAGTTTATGTTCTTTCAAGAGTATGACGTCTGAACTTCAAATAATACCCGTGGTACATACAAAATTTTCGGTCTTAACGCTTACATTTTTGATGTTAACAAAAAAAGTCTTTGCACATTCTCTTGTTTATTGCATTTATTCCAGTAGAACTAATTTATTTCCTCGGATTTAAACAGCGAATTAACCATAAACCCAGAATCGAATTTCCTTGGTTTACTCAATTTTTTCGATATTTGGGCAATTTTTATTTTTTCGTGTTTTTTCAGATTTTTTGGAATCATTGGATTTCTTAAGTTTTTTGTTTCTTGGGTGGAGATTTTTTTGGATTTTTCACATTCTTTGATTTTTTGGATTTCTTCGGTTTTTTGGATTTTCTGAAATCTTTTATTGAATTTTTTCTATTTTTCGGATAATTTCTATTCTCTTGTTTTTTCTTACGCTGTTCTTGTATTTTTTTATTTTTATTTGAACTTTTTAAATTATTTTGGATTTCTAATGTATCGAATTTTTGGAATTACTGGATTTCTTGAGTCTGTTGAATTTCTTGTGTTTTTTAGATTTATTGGATTTTTGAAATTCTTGATTTTTTGGATATGAATTTTTCGGATTTTTTGTTTCTTGAGGTTTTTTGGGTATCTTGGATTTCTAAAATTATTTTTTTTTTTGGATTTATATTATATATTATATTCGATTTTTTGGACACTTGAATTACTGGTTTGGTTTTCGGATTTCTTCGGTTTTTTGGATTTATAGATTTGCTTTCTTGGGTTTATTCAATTTTTGGGATATTTCAAATTTTTTGTATTTGTGGAATTGGATTTCCTGAGATTTTGAAGTTTCTCGGGTTTCTTGGATTTTTTAGATTTTCTAAATTCTTCATTTTTTCGGATTTTTTATTTTTTTAATTTTCTTGAATCTATTCTTTGATTTTTTGGATTTCTTGTTTTTTTGATTTATTATAGAGTTGTTTGTGTTTCTTGGAGTTTTTAGATTTTTTGGACTCTTGAATGATGTCTTGATTTCCGGGGATTTGATTTTTTTGATTTTTTGAACACTTGAATTAGTGAATTGAATTTCTTGGGTTTTCGGTTTTTTGTTTTTTTTTTTAATTTGTAGAGTTGTTATTTTTGGTTTATTCAATTTTTGGGATGTTTTAAATTTTTTGTATTCGTGGAATTGGACTTACTGAGTGTTTTAAGTTTCTCGGGTTTCTTGGCGTTTTTAAACCCGTTGATTTTTTGTAGATTTTTGAATTTTTGTTGAGTTTTTTGGGTACCTTGAATTTTTTTGATTTTCCAAATTCTTTGATTTTTTGGATATTTTTGGTTTTTTAATGTTTTCGATTTTTCGGATAATTTTTATTTTCTTGTCTTTTCTTGTTGTTTTTTTGATTTTTTTTATTTTTTTTTTGATTTGTTCTTTTGAATTTGTTCAATTATTTCGGATTTTTTGGATTTTCGATTTTTTTAATTTTTGGAATTACTGGATTTCTTGAGATTTTTGTCTCCTGTGTTTTTTAGATTTCTTAGATCTTTGAATTCTTAGATTTTTTGGATAATTTGAATTTTTCGGTTTTTTGCATTTCTTTTTTGGATTTTTTTTTTAATTTTGGATTTCTTTCATTGTTTTGGATTTTTTGAACATATTCGATTTTTTGGACACTTGAATTAGTGAATTGAATTTCTTGGGTTTTCAGATTTCTTCGGTATTTTAGGTATTTTGGATTTCTTAAATTCTTTCATTGTTTTGGATTTTCTAAATTCTTCGATTGTTTTGGATTTTTTGTTTTATGTACTTGCATTTTTTGAGTTTCTTGGGTTTCATATATTCTTTTCGATTTTTTGGATTTCTCGGACTTTTTTTAGATTTTTTGGACATATTCGATTTTTGAGCACTTGAATTAGTGGATGTCTTGAATTTATTCAATTTTTGGATTATTTCAAATTTTTTGTGTTTGTGGAATTGGATTTCCTGAAATTTTTAAGTTTCTCGGGTTTCTTGGATTTTTTAGACTTTCTAAATTCTTTAATTTTTAGGATTTTTTTATTGTTTTGATTTTCTTGAATTCTCTGATTTTATGGGTTCTTATTTTCTTTTTTGGATTTATTGAGTTCTTTGGGTTTCTTGGAGTTTTTAGATTTTTTCGATACATTCGAGTCTTTGGACTCTTGTTTTCGAATTTATTCAGCTTTTTTGCTTTTGTTTGGATTTTTGGATTTGTTTTCGTATTTTATTCAATTTTTGGGATTATTAGATTTTTTGTATTTGTGGAATTGAATTTCCTGAGTTTTTTAAGTTTCTCCAGTTGCTTGGATTTTTTAAATTCTTTGATTTTTTGGATTTCTTTTTTTAGATTTTTTGGGCATTTAAATTAGTGGATGTCTTGAATTTCTGCGGTTTTTTTTTTAATTTGTGGATTTGGTTTCTTGGATTTATTCAATTTTTGGGATATTTCAAATTTTTTATATTTGTGGAATTTGATTTCCTGAGATTTTTAAGTTTTTCGGGTTTATTGGATTTTTTTAGTTTTTTTGATTTTATAAATTTTTCGATTTTTTAAATACTACTTTGATTTTTTGATTTTCTTTTTTTTTTGATTTATTGAGTTCTTTGAGCTTCTTGGAGTTTTTATATTTTTTGGATATATTCGAGTTTTCGACTTTCTTCGGCTTTTTGTTTTTTTTTTTGGATTTTTGGATTGATTTCTTGTGTTTATTCATTTTTTGGGATATTTTAGATTTTTTGTATTTGAGGAATTGAATTTTCTGAATTTTTTAAGTTTCTTCGGTTTCTTGAATTTTTTAATTTTGTCGATTTTTTGGGTATCTTGGACTTTTTAGATTTTCTAAATTCTTGGTTTTTGATTTCTTTTATTTTTTGACTTTTTTTGAGTTTCTTGTGTTTCTTGAATTTAATTTTTTGATTTTTTAAATTCTTTGATTTTTGGATTTCTTTTTTTTTATTTATTGTGTACTTTGGTTTTCTTGGATTTTTTTAGATTTCTTGGATATATTCTAGTTTTTGGACTCTTGAATGATATCTTGAATTTCGTGGATTTTCAGACTGTTTAGTTTTTTGGATTTTTGGATTTGTTTTCTTCGATGTATTCAATTTTTTCGATCTTTAGGATATTTTCGATTTTTTGTATCTGTGGAAATGGATTCTTCAAGTTTCTCGGGTTTTTTGGATTTTTTAAATCCTTTGATTTTTTGGATTTACTAAATGTTTTAAGTTATTTTTAAAATTTTTTGATTTTTAGATTCGAGTTTTTTGGTATTTCGGATTTTTTTGATTTTTGGATATTTTTGAAATTATTGGATTTCTTGAGTTTTTTGAGTTTCTTGAATTTTTTAGATCTTTTAATTTCTGCAATTTTTTGGCTATCTTGGTTGTTTTGGGTATCTTGAATATTATAGACTTTTTGGGGTCTTTAAAACTCTTTGCTTATTTAGATTTTTTTGGATTTCCCGGATTTGTTAGATTTTGCAGAACTAGTAATACTCGAAGTAACAGTTGGTTTGCAGGTGATTGCGTTTTCTGGTGACCTTACTATGGCAACTATTCCTATTGCCCTAGGGTATTATATGATTAATAATGTACCTCAAATCGAAGCCATAAAATCGAATATATCAAAAAAATCCAAGAAACCCAAAAAAATTTCATGCAAAGAATCAGAAGAATTTAAAAATCCAAAAAATCTAAAAGAATTCAAGAAACTCAAAAAGTAATCAAAAAAATTTAGAAATTTTGACGAATTTAAAACATACAAAAAAATAAAGAATTTCAGAAATCCAAGAAACACAAAAAGTCCGAAAAATAAGACAGTAAGACATAAAAAAAAACAAAATGACTAACTTAGAAAAATATTCAAAATAACTACCTAGGGCTAACGTAACACCATTTCCAGCTTATACTATCCCTTCTTCATTATTAAATTAATGCACATAGTTATTTTACTAACGGTTCGTCTACTTTTAAACATAATAAAAACTGTCCATAAGTCTCGTTAGAAAACTCTGTACCATCGAGGAATTTACCAAGATTTTAATTTGTTTGGAATGTCAGTGGTAACTACTAAAAGGAGTAAGAGTAAAAGGCTCAATATCGATCCCTGCTGAATCCCGCTTAAAACATGAACAAGAGGACGATATAAATCACCAATTTTTGCAATTTTTAAGTTAAATTGTAAAATATTTTTATAAAAACGGATTCATAAACTACAACTATACTACATCAAATTGTTGGTGGGTACGACTAAACAAAATTCTGGTTGGCGTTTTACCACCTATACGATATCCCTAAAATTCGTATAAAACTTCACAATTATCAATTCTGGTCTCATTTAATATATTTAATTTTAAATTTTTGATTTTTCGAGTGGAAAAATGGGGTGTCTGTCGTGAGTCAGATAATCTCCGAAACTACTGGACTGATTATTGTAAAGTAATAGACATGCGTTAAAAACATCTATCTTCTTTCGGAAATTCGAGTCCGATCCCATAAGTTCCATTTTTAGAATATAACCAGATCAAAATCACGTATTTTTATCAAGACGACATGATTTACACAACACTTTAAAAGGACGTGTACCTCGAAACAGTGTCAACATTTCATCAACCAATGTGTTTGCATTATGCACAAAATATTTAAAAAGTGTTTC